TACTTCATAGAGGCCACAGAGATAAGGATCCAAGCCAGACACATACCACACACTCACACACCACACTCACACACATACTACACACTCACACACACATGCCACACATATTCACATTCACATACACACACACTCATACACACCACATATATTCACATACACACACACCCACACCCTCACACACATACTACACACACACCACACACATCACACATATTCACATATACATACCCCCACACACTCACACACACACCACACATATTCACATTCGCACACCCCCACACACTCACATTCATACAAACACCACCCACACTCACATACCACACCACATATTAACACACACATATACATATGCAAGAACAGTGGTTCAGGTATATTCATGCATTGCAAACATGCCTGTGTATACACAGACCACATGCATATGCACATTCACACATGCTAGCACACACAAGCTACACATTTACATGAACACGTGGGTTCTCCACAGATCAATACTCACATGCTCACACAAACATGGGTCCACTCATATGTGAAACAACCCCATGTATACACATTCACATTGACATGTACACCCATAAACATATGTGTACATGTTGTATGTTGTTACGTGTATACAAACACACACATGGGTCTAGAGAGACGGTTCAGTAGTTAAGAGCATTTGCTGTGCCAGGCAGTGGTGGCACACGCCTCTAATCCCAGCACTCGGGGACTTAGAGGGAGGCAAAGGCAGGCGGGTCTCTATGAGTTTGAGGCCAGCCTGGTCTACAAAGCGAGTTCCGGACAGGCTCCAAAGCCACAGAGAGACATTGTCTCAAAAACAAAACAGAAAAGAGCGTAAGATCTGACACCCTCTTCTTATTTCAGGGGCCACCTGCACGGCGCACACACACACACACACACACACACACACACACACACACACACACGGTACACATACACACATAAATTAAAGTCAGTTAAGGAAACATTTTAAAACATCACTCACAATCCCCCAACAGACCCTGGCTCCAGAGGACCAAAAAGTGTGTGCTGACAGTCAGGTGTCTTCCCTGACAGTGGGTCTGGAGCATAAGCCACTTCCCTCCCTCCCTCCCTCCCATTGCTCCCTCCCTCCCTCCCTCCTTTTTCTGCTCCCTGGGGCAAGCCCCTCTCTACCCTATTGCAATAAAATCTGATGCTGCCATAGGAGAGTGAGCTCCCTTCTGAAGTAATTGAGCCGTGCAAACACATTCAGGTGGCATTAATAGGGCTTCAGCCACCCGCCCTACTTTGCTGGATGAGCAGAAAGACAGGCCATTCCATTGTCTCCTGTGGAAGACTGTATGGAGACCCCTGGGTCAACCTTCGAAAAAGCTGTTCCTGGGGAGACCTTGAAGGGGTCCTCCTTGGAGTCAGCAAGCTCTGCATGCTTGTCTATCCTCAAGGGCGAGGCCCCTGGAGTCTACCGAAGCCAGAGCCACGCCTCATGGGACAGGCATTTGCCCCCATTTCAAGGCATTCTGCAGGCCAGAGACCTGGGAGAATCTAGGTGGGGTGAAGGAAGAAAGTTACCTCCCACTGTCCCTTAACTGGGGAAAGCGAGGACTGCCAGTAGCCCAGGGACACCTCCTTTCTCTCTGACCTGGTATCTCTATGTACCAAGAAGGAGTCTCTCGCCTCCCACCCCACCCTGGCCCAGCCCAGGCCCTGGAGGACTCAGAAGGCTTGGCTGAAGCTGTGGGAAAGAACCACACCAGTGGGCTGTTGTAGGGAGGGGGCAGTGACACCGGCAGAAGGGACACCCCGTACCCAAATGCGAGATGTGACAGGAGAGAGATGGACAGAGAGCGAGCAGACAGGGAGCCTGAAGGGCCGGAGGTTGAGAGCTATGCAGGCATGCAGGATTGTCCGAGACCACAAGGCCAGAGATAGAGAGGGAAAGACAGAGAGGAGGAGAGGCAGGCGGGCTCGGCTCTCTGCGCCCCATCCCCCCAACACAAAGGTTAACTGAGAAGGCAGCATGCACCCGCGTGCCTGCCTGCACCTTCCAGAAAAGCCTTTCCTTGTTGGGGGGGGGGCGGTCCCTGCTGTCATCTGCTCCCAGTGTCTCCTCCGCTGTGGGGACTTAGACTTCCCTGTAGCCCTTATCGATGATCTCAGAGCACTACCAAGGCCTGCAATAAACTGAGATCTTCCTGAGCAGCCCAGGACAGTAGATGGGTGGGCAGCTGTAAATCTCAGGGCATCGGTGCCCAAAGGAATATTACACAGCCATCAAGGGTGTTCGTTATGAAGACCAAGCCCACAAGGGAACGTGCCGACAGCAAGGCTTTGCAGCTGGCAGGGCACAGGGTTTATCTGCGCCGTGATCCGTGCAAAGGGAAGCTGGAGTCTACGCATGTGTGAGACTGAGGGGCCTAAGGATGCCAGCCTGGTTCCCAAGGAGGGATGTTCTCATCTTTTCATCTTTATCTCTAGAAGCATGGCTTGTGCAATAAATAACGTCTTTCTTATCACAGGACCATGTTCCAGTAAATGAGGTCTGCCGCTCAAGTCTTACACCCTGACTCCCACCCACGGACTCGACATCCAACCAGAGAGAATGAGGGGGCCACGTGGGGCCCACAGCCTCCCCGAACTGAGAGGGTAAAGCCACCCAGCCTGAAACACTAGCTCTGGACATAGGCTGCTGCTGTGAGTTGGGAGAGAGACAAGGGCCAGAGGGCAGACGACGTCCCCGTCCTCCTCCCCGGGAGCTCTGGAAGGCGTATGACCCGGAGCTGGGTGGGACACTGGGAAATGGTCCCATTTTGAAGGGTTTGCTTTGGCCAAAGCACCAGCTGCATCGTAGCAGAGCCAAAGGTACCAAGAGGATCACACAGGTCTAGCAGAAGGCTCTGCTCTGCGCCAGGCTGGGGGGGGAGGGTGTCACAGCATGGGATCAGCATGCAAGGACAGGGAAGTACGATAACCAGACTGAAGAAGTTGGAGGGACAGGAGGGAGGATGGTGGGTGGAGACATGGGGAAACAGCCATGGATGGCTGCAGAACCGGTGAGCGAAGGCTCCATCCGGGAGGAAGCAAGAAGTCAAGAGAGGGAAGGGACTCAAGGGGCAGGAGAGGCATTCCAAGTGGAGGGGCCCAGACCTGGGGCACTCGCTGCGGCCCAGGGAGAGGCAGCCATGCCTTGCTAACCTTAGCACCAGCAGCTGTGGGTGGAGCAGAGCAGCCCCCGGGCTTCTCACCAAGCTGTGCACAGTCCAGTACCCTGCCAAGGGCAACTTAGAGCTAGCCCTGGCTTCCCCGTGCTCTGTCCCACAAACAGCCTTCTGTCCCGTGTCACAGAATAAGACACTGGGGTTCACAGGAGCTGATGTCAGAGTGATATGAGCAGAAACGCGGTCCCTGGGCTGTAGCATGTGAGTGCCGCCTTCCTCCGCCTCCCAGACACCCAGACACGCAACCTAGGCCAAGAGAGGGGAGCTTCATGTAGGACAGACCCTAGCCTGGCAGCTGCCCATAGCCATCAGTCAGCTCTGGACACTGCCTTTGCTGGGGTCCCACTAAAGGGAGCCTCCCCCACATCTCAGGTTCCCCCATCACAACCCCTCACTGGGGTCTGAGCAACACCTGGTTTCCGGGACAAGGGTTAGGAGTGGAGGGGAGCAGAGGGGTCCACTTCCTCTCAGAGAAGAGGGGCCAACAACCTCTGAGGCTGCACGGCCAGGTCTGAGTTTGCTGGCAACCCCTGCTCAAGGGGCTGGGTCAGAACCCCAGTGTCTCAAGCCAGGCACAGTTCAGGGTATTGACAGGCTCCGTAGGCGACCAGCCCTTGCCATTCATGTTCCCTGGCCGCTGGGCTCTCAGTGCCTGAGCCTGTGGCCTCTGACAGTATTCCCAGCGACCTTGCTCGGGCTGTCTCCAGTCAGTGGACTTGGCCTATGGCTGTCATCCCTCCAGGTGTGAAGAACTTCCCTCAGACCCCCTGGGATTGGCAGGGGGCACAGCGGCCCTGGGGCCTGCATGGCCTTCTGTGGCCCTCCACAGTAGGTCCTGTCCATGTAGCCTAGAGGGGTCAGCAAACCCTGGCTGCCAGTGTACAGAAAGGGCTCACAGTCCTTTGCTCTCCATCCCCATCCTAGGGTGGTGACAGCAAGTGCCCCCCCTCTATCCTGAGACCCAGACGGCAAGGATGTGGGTGCCATGGGGCTGAGCCACAGAGAACGTCAAGGCATGTGCAGTTCCGAGAGCCCCTGGAGGTGGCTGTCCACTGTAAGAAGGGCCAGGGTGAGGGTCGGGGTGGGGTGGGGTGGGCAGGTGCCCTTGTAACTCTGGTATGGTCTGGGACTGCCAAGAAGAGTCGGTCCCTATTCTGCCTTCCCAGACAGAGCCCCAATAAACCTGTAGTGTGGGGTCATGAGGATCGGCCACGGTCCGTGGGAGGGACAGCACCCGACAGGAGAGAGCGTGGCTGCTGCTGTCATTTTAAAGAGTGGCACACCAGAGAAAGACAGAGCTTGGGTGGAGGGTTTCTTATTGGGGGAAAGTGAGTGGAGACCTCTGGGGACAGGAGTAGCAGAAGAAAAAAGAGGCAGAGAGAGAGAGAGAGAGAGAGAGAGAGAGAGAGAGAGGCTGAGAAGCACAAAGAGAGAGAAGGATGGAGGTGGGCAGGGCCGCTTTACAGGGAACACAGTGAATGTGCACAGCTGGTACTCTTAGTGGCTGCAGCTGAGGGCGCATCCTGTCAGAGCCCCAAGGGCAGGCCAGCACAGATGCCTGAATACTGACAGTTGTGACCATCAACACCTCCGTCTAGGGAGGGGTTACACTCTGGCTATCTTATCTCACAGGCCGGGCCAGTGAGGCTTGTCTCAGTACCTTTGTGTGGCGGGTGGGGGAGCATGAGGACATTTTCCTAACTGAGCCATCTATGGTACCCTCCCCAGACATTGCCCGCAGGAACACCACAGCTGCCGTCAAGGGTGAGTACTGAGGAGGAGCCCCCATCTGCCAGCAGGACCAAACACAGCCTCAACCACACCCCTACCCCCACATTGCCAGTTACTCAACACCCTGACTCAGTCTCCCCTGATTACGCTACAAGTGGCCCCACCCCCCCCCAGGGCCACTCCCCAGATCCTTGGCATGTTGAAGCAGCAGCACCCCTAAATGGGTGATGTCTTCCTTAGACAAGAATCAGTGTCCCATGGGTTCCATGAGACTCACCCCAGGACCCTACCTGCCCATCATCCTGATGGCCAACAGTCAGACGACATAAGTGTCCCTCCACACCAGCCCCACCAGCAGAGAGAGGGTGCACCCTGCAGGGCCTCACTGGGGAGCTGCCTGGACTGACCTGCCACCCCCCTACAGTGCCCAGCCGACCAGCTTCCCACGGTGGCTCTGTGCCCCAGCCAGCATCCTGTGGCGGTTCCCTATTCCTGTGGCTGACTCTGTGTGTTCTGCTTGGAGTAGTGTTGGGCCTGTGCTGTGGCCGGGTCAAACCCATCACGGTAGTCCTGGAGGACCTCCGGGATTGGCTCCTCGTCCTCACCTTGCGCTTGAGGCGTGTAGTCCTTGCCCTGCTGCACCTGACACCTGGCTGAATGGCAACTTCACCTCTGAACATCGCTGGAGGGTGATGGTGGTGGAGGCCTAGGGTGGCTGGGGGCTTTGCGTGGGTGGAGCCCGGGCAGTAAGACTGACCCCAAGACAGCTCTGCTAGCCAATGCTCGACAAAGCCAGGAGCTCCAAGAGCCTGCTGAAGTAGATAAGTGGGAAAGGAACCCCTACTCCAGTCTGCACAGCCTGGGACCGTGGGATTTTAAGATTGTATCAGAGAAAGAACTCAACTATCGTGGCTGGGTATTCCTGTGCTCCTGCCCAGTCCTCCCTCTCGGATCCCTGGCCTGGATACTGCCATACATGCTAAACAGTTCTTTGAAGATGAGAGTCACCTGTGTCTGAGGGGCAGTTTGGGAGCAGGCCGCAAACTCCTGCTGCTTTGAGGATTGGGCCAGCTTCTGTCCCAGAGACGGTCTCAGGGGCCTTCCTCAGCAGTTCGTGGAGCCCCGTGGGTATCAGGGTCTACCCTCTGAGCACAGGTCTAATTCCTCCACATAACACCAGGGTCAGAGGTCACTGTGGTGTGGGGAGCGGAGTCCAGCTCTGAAGCCAGCTGCTCTCAGGACAAACGTATTTTTAAAAGATATTTTTAAACACGTTTGTTCTGAGAGGTTCCACTTCCTGGGCCACAGACAAGGCCAAGGCCATTAAGCCTGCCCACCAGCTGCAGATCCCGTGAGTCTTCTGAACCTGTGCAGACACAGCTCTGTCATGCATGCTGTAAGGTCAAGGGAAGCAAGTATACAGTAACAAACTCCGGGACCCCTAGACCTACCTGGGAGTGGGGGACCTGAACACAGCAAGGAGACCCAGTCAGACACCAGGAGGATCCACCAGGGGGTCCCTGCACCACCCCGGAACAAGCATCTGACCAGGGTTTGGGAGCCAGGGTGAGGGTTGTGGTTGTCCTTTTAAGATGTCTCTCTACTTACGTGGGCAGAAACAGATTCCGTATTCAGCTTCTTCAACCTCAGGATTATTACAGAAATGAGGGATGTGAGACAGTTGTTGAGGAATCCCTCCAGGGCCAAGCATGCTCATCTAAGCACCAGAGTACACCCTCTTACCCCCACAACCCACAGGTCCTTTGTAGCTGTCACTCATGAGAATTGGGGGGAGGGACCCACCATGCCCGCAAGACCACATCTCCCCAGCAAGATGTGCCCATATTCCTAACTCACTGAGGTGCCATCTACCCCCCTCTGGCCTCAGGGACTCCACACAATGGTCTCCAACTATGATGCATGGGGACACAGTCAGGGAGGGCCCAGTGGAGAGAAAGCCTGCTTCCAGGAATAGTCTAGAGAGGACAAGCCTGGGAAGCCACACGCCAGGGTCAGCCATCACCATGGTTACTGCTGCCTGCACCGGCCCAGCTGCCCCAGGACCCATTCCATCTCATTCCACCCTGGTAAAAGACAGGCTCATTACTGGCCTGTATTCCAGATATGGAAACAGACACTTAGGGACAAGACAGAAAACTGTGAGGTCTCTCTTCCATCCCTGCTTCTAGAAAGGGGATTAGTCACCCCATGTTTTACAACAAGAGAGCCAAGGCCTCCCATCTCACAGCCTGCATCTGCTGCAAAGGCCACAGAAAAAAGTGTGTCCAGCTCTGTGGGGACCACAAAACTCTACCCTAGCTAGTTTGGGGCTTTCATTTTTCTTTGTTTCCTTTTTACAGTGCAAACCCAGCACAGCTAGGCGAATGGTCGGCCACTGTGTTACAGCACCAGCCCTATTTTGTTTTAGAATAAATGTTCCAAGACATACACAGAGATACATGTGCCTAAGAGATGCCATTAAAAAGCCATCCCCATGCCTGGGGGGTGCCGTAGTGTGGGGGTGCTCAAGAGTCCAACTCCTTAAATGCAGAGGCATGAAAGGCCACCCGTGAACATCTGGAAACTGAACAGACCAAGACTGTTTAAGTCATAAACAAACAGCTGGAGCCTCAGAGTCCGGGGCTGGGAGGCGAGGCCTGAAGTGGTTGGTAAAGACACAAACACCTCATCCACACAGCATCTTCCATGTCTGGTCTTTATTTTGATATTTTGACTTGAGAATCAGACACATGGAGGCTTAGGACTCATCACTATCGGCGTCACCAGGAAGACAGCCACAAGGGCTGCCCTGGGACAAGATGGGGAAGGGCAGAGGCATCGGGGCAGCCTGGGGACCATTCTGCAGCCTCTGCCTGTCTCTTGCCATCCATCCGAGACAGGCGCCCCTGACGGTCCAACACTCCTAGGCCAGAGGCCCTTCCCCAGGAGTCCCCGGGACATTGACATCTGGGGACAAGTAGTCTAGGCATCTGTAGGAGAGTAAAGGTCTCTCTAGATTTGACCAGGTCCCAGACCAACTCCAAGAATCCCCAAGAGGCAGCTGCCAACAGCAGGCCTACATCTGAGGCAGATCCTAGGCCCCAGGGACCCCGCCCGCCTCCTGTTCCTTCAGGTCCTAAGAGGCTACAGCGTTAGTGTGGACGTAAGGCAGAAGATGAAGAAGGAGCCAACCCTAGGAAGGGTCTCAGGGCTAGACAGTGTTCCCATGTCCCACAGATGAGGGCTGGTGTGACAGTCTGGAAAAAGAGACCAGGTCATTCTGCAAACCTCAAAACAGTTCTCCAGCATCCACACCTCCTCCTGGGAGCTCAGCCAGGTCACCAGCCCCCGCAGAAGGTGGGGTTGTCAGTCTACCTGGAGCTGATCTCCCCAGATAGGCATCCCCTTGCACAGCATCGTGACCATCCTTGTTGGCTTCAATTCTTAGGGCCCAAGCGATCCCCCTCAGGCCCTCACAGTGAGCCTGGGCCCACACCATCCACTGGAGTTGGACAGTGGGCTGACACAGGCCAGGGTCACCTTGCCTGATGGAAGAATGGCATTGCAGCACAACTTCGGACTAGGTCCAAGAACACTAAACGTGCTCACTGAGATACAGGTGGGCTGGGCCTCTTCCCACATGGGGGCCCCACCCCTGGGACACAGAGGACCATGCCACCTAGAAAGCCTGGGGGGGGCTCTCCTACCACAGCAAGCAGCCCCAGACATCCTCACATGCAGAGGACAGAGTGCAGCCCAGGGTCCCACATCCCTACCAGGATCCTCCACCTGCTGCTATGGGGGGGCGGTGCCTTCTGGGGACCTTAGATGAAGATGGTATGGGCTGAAAGACGGTCCCCTCTGGGAGGGGCAGGGACTTGGGTGCTGGGGCCTGTGGCGGTGCCAAATGGCTGCTAACCCAGCGCCATCACCTCTGCTCTGCAGTCACACTCCCATGCACACACATGCTCACATACATGCACATATATGGGCAAACGGCCACGCAGAAGCGGAGTGTGGATCACACTAACCAAGGCCAGGCCAAGAAGCCAGAAGGCACCCCATCCCCTAGTCTCTGGTCTCTGCGCCATCACTGTCAGGCTCTCCATGGGAATACAAGCTGTCTGCTCTTGGTGGGAGGGGCCAAGGGACACATGCAGAGCTGCATCGGCCAGCCTGGGTGGGGCTCCAGCCTAGATGACAGCGCTCTTCTCCCCCTGGAAGGAGGTGCGGGAGGCTGGTCTGGACAGCAGCAGCTCCTTCTCATGAACCAGGCTGTCCAACAGGTCTTCCTGGCGATAGTTGTGGTAAACCTTCAGGAACGCCAGGGTGGTGATCGCCAGCCAGGCCAGCCATGACGCCCACAGACCAAACTGCACAGAAGACAGAGCAGCATGAGTGTGTGTGTGTGGGGGGGGGGGGTTGCTCATTGTCCCTGCGCACTATACCCACCTCCCAACTCTTGCTCTGCAGCCAAGGGAAAGGCGCTCTAAGGCTAGAGGCCGGCCACGCACACCCACACCTGGCGTATTCTCCACAGTGACTGTTATGTCCAATGCCTGCAGGAACCCAGGTCTGCACAGAGGCTTGGGGGGCCCCTGCCATTCCCACCCGAACTGACGAGCCTCTTCCCGCCCCGACCCACAGGGATCTAAGGAATGCCTACAGATCAGGGAGCCCCTCTAGTCAGGGGGATAAATTGACCTTTAGCTGCGATTTCCAAACAGCTGATAGAGAAACAATGAAATCAGTTCCTGGTCTGCACTGCATCAACCTGATTCTCACTTGAGCGTGTTTGTCCTCAGACTGCGCACGCCTCTGTCTAATTGGTCCAAATTAGTTCTAAAACACCCGAAGCTAAAGTTGCGTGAAGGTCCCTTTGACCATCTCAGCTCATCTCTGCAAAGAACGTCAGGACTTCCGAGGGCTTTGGGCAGTGACACGCATCGTCTCAGTTCAGCCTCTGACAAACCAGAGCCTCCAGAAGGTAGACTGGGGCATGGAAGGACGCCACGGAGGGCGAAAGCCCCGTGTGTGTGGGAAGGGACAGATGTCCATGCTCAGCCCCCCCTCCAGGTGCCCCTAGCCTGCACCACCTGCCTGGGGCACAAATGCAGCCTTCAAAGGACAGAAAATCCTAAAGCTTCCCCAGGGCCCTCAGCTACCAATGTGTACCCATAGTCTAAAAGTCACATGAAAGGTAGGGCAAGGTGGGGCCAGAAATCTCCCCAGGGCAGGTCCCCCATTTCACCCCAGACAGCACCAGGTGGCCCGCCTGAACACTAGGAGCCAGACCAGAATCCAAACCCTGTCCTCCAGACAACTCCAGATCCTAAACACCCCACATCCTGTATTCCCTTCCCCCCTCTTCCTCCCCACCCACTCAGCACTTCCCACCCCCTGGCCCCTGAGCTGGCTGTCCATGAGTTACCCATGCCTTCTCTTGCCACACACACACACACACACACAGACACACCGCTGTCCTAGCCCCCAGGACGGGGGATTTCTCCTGCTGCTCCCACAGGCTGTAACCCCCCCCCCCCCCCCCCCCGTGAGTCTGTTTCCTTGCCTGGGATCAGGAGTCTGTCTTGTCTGTTGTGGTCCCCACCCCCACCCCCAACACCGCCATTTCTCTTCCCCACCTAAAAGCCCACCTACCTGGGCGATAGCAAACTGGCGGTAGAAGGCGGAGTTGTCCACATTCAGCTCCAAGTCTATGTCCTGGAACTTCTCGCAGCTAAAACAGCATAATGCAAAGTGGCTGGTGATGTGTGAGTCCCTGGGCCAAAAGGCAGCAAGCACCAAGCTGGGGAGCAGAGACTACTTCCCCCCAAAAGTGAGGGGCGTTTTATGTCAACTTGACACAAGCTAGTTATCTGAGGGAACCTCAATTGAGAAAAGGCTTCCATAAGATCGGGCTGCAGGCAAGCCTGTAAGACATTTTCTTAATTAATGGTCAATGGGGGAGGGTCCAGACCAGTGTGGGTGGGGCCATCCCTGGGCTGGGGGTCCCGGGTTCTATAAAAAATGCAGGCTGAGCAAGCCATGGGGAGCAAGCCAGTAAGCAGCTCCCTCCATGGCCTCTGCATCAGCTCCTGCCTCCAGGTCCCTGGCCTGCTTGAGCTCCAGGCTTGACTTCCTTTGATGATGAACTATGACGTGGAAATAAATGTAAGCTGAATAAAGCCTTTCCTCCCCAAGTTGCTTTGGCCGTGGTGTTTCATCACAGTGACCCTAAGACAGAGAGGGGCAGTCCCCAGGGGGACTAGAGGCAGATGCCTCCAGGGACTGCACTGGGAGTCAGCTTTGACCTCTGTTGGGTGGAAGAGGACGGCTTCAAGGAAGGGTCCCTGGACACATGGGCCAGCCTCAACTATGTTGTTGCTGGGGGTCTGAGATGGGAGTGGTGGCCCCAAGCCACGTGTGATGCTGTGGGCTACTGGGCCAGAGAAAGAGGAGCTTGATGTTGAGTAGGAGCAACAGATGGGGGGCACAGGTGGGCAAAGCCTCAGCCTGGGGATGGGAGTCAGGAAGAAAAGCATCACGGGGTCCAGGGAAGGGGTGGGCCCTGTAGGGAGGGGCTTGGCGAAGCAGGGCCCAGGCATACCTGTGGTGCACAGCGCCCTTGTCCGTGATGGTGTCACACCACATGGTGAAGCCCACACTCACAATGGTGCTGGCAATGAAGACCAGGAAAACCACAAAGACGCTGACCAGGAGGTTCAGGAAGGCGTAGAAGAAGGAGCTGCGGGTGGCCAAGAGAAAGATGCTAGGGAGCCATTCAGCACCCACCCCCACCCACGCCAGTCACTCCCATTGACCACAGAGAGGGGACGCACTCCCCGGTTTCTGGTGAGCACTTGGGGTCCTGATGGGGCTGAATGGGGCTTGAAGGGCCTGCTGGGTCCTGATGGGGCTGAATTTGGGGTCCTGATGGGGCTGAATGGGGCTTGAAGGGCCTGCTTCCTTCTCTGCTGCTATCAAGCAGCCTGTCTTGTTCTCTCATGGACCCAGAGCCAGGTCTTGCCACTACTGCTGTACTGGAGAATCAGGCCAAGACAAGAACCCCAGATCGTAATTCCCACAGCCTAGGAGCCAGCACACACACTGAAAACACAAGGCCCCTTCTAAGGCCACCTACTCACACACACTCACAGCTATGGGTGTGTGTGTCCGCTCAAATACATAGGTTGAAACCCCAAAGCCCAGGGTGTGAGCTCCAGACCCTCTAATCCCTAAGCAGAGAAGGGTACAATATAAGAAAAGCCCCGTCCATTCCCCTCTGCTGCCCGAGGGCCAGCCTGACTCCACACATGTTAACAGGAAAGGGGGCATGTGGGAGTTATGGCTCCACCATACTCTCCAGGGTCACCCGAACCGTGGGAGATTCATAGCACAGAGTGTGGCAGTCAACAAAGGAGCCTGCCCACGTCCAGCCCGGACAAAAATGGCTTCACAATGGGAAACTGACACATGAGACTTTAAGAAGTGGCTGCCCTGCCCTGCCCTGCCTGGCAGCCACGTGCGCTTCTGGCTGACGGGTTTGTCCATTAATGAGTTCGTTCCACAAGCCTTCTTGACCATTCGCCAACCCAGTGCTGGACACGAGGGCCACGGCTTAGAACAGTGTAACCCTGACTACTCAAGATAAATAAGCTAAGAGTAACTCAGGTCATGTCACCAACTCACCACCCGTGACAGCCAGCTGTCAGCAGGTGGAAGCACCTGATGCCTCCTGGGATCACACGGAGCTTCCGGGGAAGGACACACCGTGTTGATGACTATTGGGCTGATTGACAGCAACAAACCCCAGGCATGAGCTGTGACAGACAGCTCATGGTCACAGCATCAAGGACAGACAAGGAGTGATGCCCTGCCATTGCTACACAACCCAGGGCTTGGAGGACCAAGTTCAGTGGGCAGCAAAGGCCTGTGCAGCGTCTACTGCCCACTCACTGCCCGCTCAGCCTGGGCTTGCTGACTCTGCCTATCCGCGCGTGGATCCCCCCGGCACACATGCCAGTCCTTGGCCCTGCCCACCTGACACCTACACTGGTTCACCCTTACCCAAAGGCTGGCCCAGGAGCCAAGGCAGGACCTGATGTCCACTGCTTCTGTGTGGTTACAGCAGGGGCTTGGTGCCTTCCTCTCCCAGCACGGAGCAGAGCAAAGACTGGATACACTTTGTTCCAGGTCGGGGCGGGGAAATGGAAAGGGGAACTTAGCTTTCGGGGGTTGCCTTGGGCTAGCGTGATCTTTTCCACAGGATTCCTCGGTCCCCCTGACCAGGAGTGATGACAAAGACATTGTGGTCCTGTGGTAGCGGGGTGCACGTGCGTGCGTGCGTGCGTGGGTGCGTGGGTGCGTGCGTGCGTGCGTGCGTGCGTGCGTGCGTGCGTGCGTGTGTGTGTGTGTGTGTGTGTGTGTGTGTGTGTGTGTGTTTTGTTGTTATTTTTTCTTTGTTTTTGTCAACTTGACCCAAGCTAGGGTCAACTGAGAAAATGACTCCACCAAACTGGCCTGTAGCCAAATCGATGGGGCATTTTCTTGATTAACGATTGATACAGCAATGCTACCCTACTCAAGCCAGTGCCACCTCTGGGCAGGGGGCCCTGGGTTGTATAAAAAGCATGCCATGGGTAACAAATCATCTTTTCTTCCATGTCCCTACCTCCCTTCACGATGGATGAACTAAATGATGTGAAATGAAATAACCCTGTTCCTTCCTCCCCGAGTTGGGTACTAAGAGCCCCCTCCCATGGATCACTGTGGAAACCGGGGAGCTCGTGTGGGTGAAGGACCAAGAACAAGCAGCCCGCACACTCCGGGGTGCTCGCTTACCACCCCACACTGTCCCAGGACAGACCTGGACTAGGCTGAGCTGAAAAGGACCCGCTGCCCTCCCAGACCCTCAGTGAGCTCACTTAAGCTGTACCCAGGCTTAAAGTTATTATTGCCAGGAACTTAGGGTGTACAGAGTGGGATCTAGACAGCTGGAGACTGAAGCTGGGGTACTTCCATGCCCACCCACAGACAGACAAGGACACCTCAGCCCATGGAACTCTCTCTCCAGTAGCCTGTGAGTGGAGGATGTCGGGAGCTCATCCAGGCCCATGTGGTCATGCTGCCCCCACCAGGGAAAATGGGGTGATCAAGGGCAGCCAGAGCCAAGTCTCCACAGGCAGAAGCAAGGACACAGGCCTGTCCATGCACAGAAATCCATCTCATGGCACGGCTGAGAACTGAGGACTTTGGGCTCCTCCTAGGGAACATCTGTCCCTCCCCCGTTGGACAGCTTCCTGTAGTCTTCCCTGGTGGAGCATCCCAACTGTTGCCTCCCACTGGCCTTTCTGAGGGTTGAGCTGGCCACGGTGCAGACAGCAAGGCGAGACCAACCACAGCCCAGCATCACGTCATGTGTGTCTCAGAGGCAGCAGCGCAGAGTTCCCAGACCCTAGATAGTGCAGGACATGCATCTGGCTAGCCCATGTCCCTGAAGTGAGGCCAGCACAGCAGATCTGAGACACAGGAACTCTGAGTCCAGCTGCCAGCCCACCACACTGAGCCACCACCAGCCAGAAGCCTCCAGCCAGAAGTCACCAGCCAGAAGTCTCCAGCCAGAAGCCTCCAGCCAGAAGTCACCAGCCAGAAGTCTCCAGCCAGAAGCCTCCAGCCAGAAGTCTCCAGCCAGAAGTCTCCAGCCAGAAGCCTCCAGCCAGAAGTCTCCAGCCAGAAGTCTCTAGCTCTTCTAGGTTAGTTTTGGTTTTGCGGTTTTTGTTTTGTTTGGTTTTTTTCTTGATGTAACATGCTGGACCTTCTAGATCTCCAAAGAACTTGATTTGCATAAGGCCACACCTGGATCCTATTTCCTAGATTTACAATGTTACTCTTCCCTGTCCCTGAACACAATCACCAAGGACAGGACCACATGGGCAGTGGGTGGGAAGGGACAGAACACACAGGGTTAACCCATCTTCCTCTCACTGCATCTCAGTGTGCCCAGCCTTGGATGTGCTGTCTCCATGGCGACAGCTATCCTGGGAAGCCCTGGGAGCAATTTGAAGGCTGAGCGACAGGTGTAAGCAGGCAGATGGGTTACATTAAGTCAATGCTTCCTGGTCCTTCACTCACAGACTGCTACCAGCCCCAGCTCAAAGGGATGCTCTAGCGCAAAGCTTCAGGCGATAGCTCACCCGGGTCCTCCTTCTCCCTGAGGGTGCATTCCTGAAACTATAGGTACCAGGGATCATCCACTGAAATAGTACACCACCCTCTGCAATGCTGCCCGGACCCTGTCTCTCTACACCCTATGTCTGAGCAGCCTGAACCTGCTTAGCATGGCAAGCATGCCCTATAGAAGGAAAATCTCATTCCATTACCACTGCGTATGACCCATATGTTCAGCGCCAACCAACAGAGTCCCTGAGGAGGCTACATGGCGACACTCTACCTCAGTGCTGACTGGGAGGTACCTTGGTGGCATCTGGGGCTGGCACCTGACCTCAGAATCAGAGAGCGCCTGGAACAGAACCAGACAAGCCCTCTAAATCCAGGGACTGGCAAGCCTGGCACCTGTCCTCCACAGGCTGGACATCCAGTGCCCCTACAGGTCACTGCCTACCACATGAGCTCACTGTAAATGCCTGTCCTGCCTCCTTGAGCCTCTTGAGTTCCCTTTGATGGCCTGCCACTACACAGTCTGACTGGCAATTTTGTTGGAATCACTGTGCCCTCTCTCTCTCCACAGGGCACCTTACTCATTGCTAGCCTAGCATCTGCAGACTCAACCTCCCCAGGGGCACTGAAGAGCTGACTCGACTCTTGGCCAAGTCATGAATCTACAATCATAATAGAGCCGGCATCGTGGCCACAAAATTGCAAGCCTCCTGGTCCAGACATTTTTCTGTCCCTCTCCATTGTGTGATGACACTCCCAGTTTCTGTGCTGGCCTGAGGACGAACTGAGAAGGTGTGTTTGTACTGCCTCATCCCCCAGGTGATGATGGGTGTACCTGGCCTGGGGTGGCTCACCATCCATCCCCCGGGTGATGATGGGTGTACCTGGCCTGCGGTGGCTCACCACCCATCCCCCGGGTGATGATGGGTGTACCTGGCCTGCGGTGGCTCACCACCCATTCCCTGGGTGATGATGATGGGTGTACCTGGCCTGCGGTGGCTCACCACCCATCCCCCGGGTGATGATGATGGGTGAACCTGGCCTGGGGTGGCTCACCACCCATCCCCCGGGTGATGACGGGTGTACCTGGCCTGGGGTGGCTCACCAGACCTGTGCCCCTATTAAGCACTGACAGCACAGTTGGCTGACTGCCATCTGGACTATACTGGGGACAGGGAGAAGGACAGCAGCCAGACAGCCACGTGGCCCTTGCCAATAATGCCTGGTAGCCAAGCAGGATTATCTATATGTCAGATGTCCCTGAGAAGACAAGGCTAGTCTATAGAAGCCTGGACAGAGGTCAAGCATGGTTAAAATCGGGTAAGCACTAAGAACTGAAGCAGAGAACAAGGAACCCCAATTCTTCCACAAGAGGGAGTGGGAACCGCCCAGACCTCACCGCTGGTGCGGGTCAAGCCCGTGCTGGTTCTCTTCAATTCAAAGTGTATGGTATGCCAAGTCACCTACAGTCTCCCAAATCCTGCCACCGGCCTCAGCTGATTGTGTGAAGAAGGCCACGGGACCTGTCCGTGCGTCAGTCCCCCTGGTGCACAGCAAAAGAGGCCTGGGTGGCCGGAACCCTCAAGCCTTTCTCTTGTGTCTTTAAGGTGGCTTGCGAAGGTCACTCACTGGGCAGATGAACACCCACAGTGACAAAAGGGAGAGGCGGGGGCCCGGGCCTGCAGCCTGATTGGTGCAGAACAGTCTGCCCTGTGCAACCATGGCTGCCACCTGCAAGCTCTTCGGGTCCTCACCTCAGCCTCTGGTCGTCCACACCCCGGGTTCTCTCTAGAGAGCTGCTCTCTGGCTCACCTGACTAGGCCATGTGCGCCATGAGGCTGCCTCTCTGGGGAGGAAACCCAAAGGGACACAGGATGTGTCTGAGCCACCAAGTCATGGCCCTACCTTTCCACCAGCCACTGCCATGTCTCCTGTCTCAGGGTGCTACCCTGCCCCAATCTGCACACTGGGAGGTGACTCCCAGTTTGGTGACAAGACTCTCAAGCTCATGTGGACAGTGGAAGGCTGAGGGACAAGGAGGGGTCCTGAAGAGGGTCAGGGCTCTGTCCTCCAGCTGACATGGCCTCACCCTAGACAGAACCTCAGCCTCACAGGCAGGAGTTGGTCCTCATCATTTGGCGGCTCCTAGGACCATCCCAGGCTTCCACTAGACTCCTGGGGAAAACCTTAGCATAGTGAGTCGAACTGTATCGCCTCAAAGCTACATCCAAGTCCTAACCTTCATACCTGTGGACGTGGCTGCCTTAGGAGACCCAGAGGATAGAAACGGGCTATTCGGGGACACTGGAGTGATCCAGCCCCGAGCTAAAGGACACACAGAGAGCTGGAGTCACCAGGTACAAATGTAAGAAGGGCTGCCACAGACCCACTCTCAGGACACTTTGATTCTAGACTTGCAGACAAACACAGACACACACACACACACAGAGGCACATACACACACACACAGACAGACACACATACATAGACACACACAGACACATACACACACAACACATACACACACACACTCACACAGAGGCACATACACACACACACACATACAGACACACATACATAGACACACACAGACACATACACACATAACACATACACACACACACTCACACAGACACATACACACACAATACATACACACATACACATACACTCACACACACATACACACAACACACACATACACACACATACAACATACATACACACAGACAGACACACACAATACATACACACATACATACACACATACACTACACACACACATACACACACACATACATACACATAACAGACACACATACAGACACACACAAATACATACACATACATTCACACACACACACAATACATGCCTTCAGACAAGGCCAGAGTGCCAGGAGTGAGCTTAAGGAACTTCCCAGCCACCCTCTGTTATCTTTTCCCAAGATGGGGCGGCGGGAATAGAAAACTACCCCCTCTTCTCAAAGAGTGGTCCCTTTCCCCATTCGCGGGAGAGGGGTGTAGGCCCAAGGCTGCTGCAAGTGGTCCCAGGTTCGCAGGGAGTGTGGCCTAGCTGAGCCAGAGCCCGGCCTGTGACCGTGACTGTGCAACATCTGTACCCCAAGAAGTCAGGGCCCAGAAGCTGGACTGAGGCTCACTCTAGGAGCAGAAGGAGATCATGAGGGCTGGGCAGATGGCCTCATGGCCCCGGGCCTGTGTGAAGACAAAGGGCAGTCTGCTTGGAAGTGGTGAGGCTGCGCGTTGACACCTGCAGGCCTCTGCAGCAGAAGAGGTGAGGCACTCATGCCCCAAGGAGAAAGGACCTGGTAGGGAGCCAGGAGGCGCGTGAGTGCTGCGTGTGTCTGTGCTGGGCCGCTGAGAGGCCCCCACTTACCCCTCATGTCCCTTGCAGAGGAAGAAGAGCGTGCGCCATGCGTGCGCAGCGGCCAGCAGCAGCGACAGGAGGCTGGCGAGCAGGCTGAAGCGGCAGGCGGCCGGCGGGCCCCATTCCTGCACGGTGAAGCGCTCCCGCGCTTGCATCGTCAGGTTGGCGCTCAGCCACATACCCTCGGTAAAGAGCAGGCAGCGGCCGCGAAAGTCGTGGCCGTTCTCGGACAGCGGCACCACCACCACAAAGCTGAACAGGAAGGCCAGAAAGTAGCAGACGCACTGCGCGAAGAGAAAATTGTTGAGCGCCATGGCGGTGCCAGGACGAGAGGGGCGGCCGGGGAGGCCGCGGGCAGAGAATGCGACCACGCCAGGAGCCGGGCCGCGAGTCTCCGGCACCGCACAGGCCTGGCCCGAACCGCACGGGAGGCTGCGCAGTGACGGCGCCCGCGGGTCTCCTGCGTTGCGCGCAGACGCGTGCGCACCGGCCAGACGTGGGGCGCGCCTGCGGTCAGCACCGCGGACAGCTCCCGCTGCGGCGCGGCTTAGACTGGCGGGCTGCATCCCACGCGGGACAAGACCAGACTGCCTTGATGGAGATGTGCCATGGGAACCTGGCAGGGGCGCGAGCATCCCTAACTCAGCTTGCGGGGAGACCTGACTCTGTCAGTAATGGAACCAGCAGTTAGTAGCTAAGGAGGATGGAGACAAATTTGCAGTGCAGACTGTGGTGACTCCTTTGCCAAGGCCTTTGTGAAGAGTATGGAGGCAGAGTTAGGTCAATAGGGATCGAGACAGAAAGCAGGGATGGTCAGGTAACCCTGGGCTGGAGCAGGTCTGTGAGCTGTTTGTACTCTGAGAGCCATGCCCTCAACCCCACACAGTGGGGCCCTCCAGCCTGCATTTGTAAGATAAATAATGGCTGCCCTGGGCACCTCATTAAGACCTCTTTGCTGAGATGAAGCTGCTGGTGCATTAATTAATAGAATTAATGACTTTTCTAGTTTCCCTTAAGACCAAGTAACCGTTAGTCCAATTCCCAGAATGAACAAGCCCTAGAGCCCTCCTTCTGGATATAGATTACATCAGCACTTTTTCTTCTTCTTGGCTGCAACACTAAATCCTTTTTGTTTTATTGTTGCTGAAATATGCACTTGTTTTTCCTTTCAACAAATGTGTATATCTGTAATGTAAAGACACCAAGTTCCCTCCTCTTCCCACCACCCTGTCACCACTTGAGACAATTTGATGTCTACTTATCCAGACATTTTGCACATAAGCACACACGGTGATTCGTCCATCCAACAATGTGCAGCAGACATTGTTCCCTGCCTGCACAAGCAGCTCTGTGGTAGTCTTTTAAGTAACTGTGTAACGCTCTGTAATAATGACTCTTCTGGAGTGTGTGTGACTATCCCTGGGACAGAGGGGGCAGGCATTGAATGTATCCAGTGTTTGCTGCTCCCGACTCTGCATCCTGATGTCTGTGTTTGTGTGGTCATGCAGGCAGCACACAAGTCTTTTAAAAAAAAAACTCTTAGGAGAGGAGCAGCTGGGTCGTGAGGTATGAGCATTTGAAGTGGTGTTGGCAGGAATCACCCAGCTCATCTCTGAGCATTGCAGTCCACATACCCACATTGTAGACCCTTTCCCCAAGACTCAATTTGTCTTACATGGCAAAGGTGACTCATCGATTTGTAACTTGTCTTCTGCTTATCACCAGGAGGTCAAATGTCTCCTACACTCATTGCCATTTGTTAGCCACCCATAGAAAATTCACTTTGCAGTCTCTTGAGTACATATGTGAGAGACCAGGCAAAGTTCTGCAGCAGCCACCCTCTCCTCAGATAATCTGTCCAGGGTTCTTCCACTGCTATATCCCCCAATCCCAGCCAGAGGCAACATTATGAAAGCTCAGCCTGCCCCAACCTGAACACATGTGGAAATCCTATCCATCCATAGTACTTAAAGACTTTAGCCAAAATAAAAAAGACCCTGGCAACTGAGAATCAGAGGAATGATTAAATATCAGCATCTGAAGCAGACAGACTCTGACACTCAGATATGAATTCCATTTAAGCTTAAAAAAATCAGGGGCTGGAGAGATGACCAGGGGTTAAGAGCACTGGCTTCTCTTCCAAAGGACCCAGGTTCAATTCCCAGCACCCAGTGAGGATTGGTAGAACGCAGTCAGTGGTGGAGCACAGAAGACCAGGAGTCCTCTTCTAGCCTCTGCAAGCACCAGGCAGACGTGCCAGTGTTGCACAGACATAGTTTTGGGCAAAATGCCCATGCACATAAAATAAAATAAAAATAATTTTAAAAATGCAGAGGTTCCTTTAGTATTTATATCGGGGCAGATTCTCCAGATAAACGGAACTAACAGATCAATGGGGTGCATACATGCACAAATGTGTGCAATCTGATGCCAATGTGTGTGCTTCCTGTTTCGACAAAGACAAAGACAGAATAGGAGTGCTATTTTAGGAATTACATCACATGGCTGTGAAGACTGGCAAGCTCACAATTTGCAGGGTTGGCTGTCCAACTGGGGACCAAGATGAGAGGTGATGCTTTGGTTCAAGTTCAAGATCATTCTGATTCAGAATTCCCTCTTGTCCCAAGTAGACCAGGTTTGTTCTCTACAGGCCTTTAACTGACAAGACAACCACTCACTTGGGAAAGGGAAAACAGCTTTACTCGGTCAATTCAAATGTTAATTTTATTCAAAAATATTCCCATGAAAACTTCCAGAATAATGTTTAACCACATATCACATATCAGAGTGTATTGTACAACTAAGTTAACCCATAAAATGAACCATCTTATTACTGAAATAGTTTAAACCTATAAAAACTATGGAAAACCTTTACATTTTTTTCTTTTTGAGACAGAGTCTCTTTATATTTCCTTATATGACCTAAAACTCATTATGAAGACAAGACTGGGCTTGAACTAATTAAAATCCATAGATGGAAGTTTCATTCCTGCCTGGTCCCACAGTTGTTTAGTCCCAAATAAACACACAGAGGCTTATATTAATTATAAATTGTTTGCCAGATGGCTCAGGCTTCCTATTGGCTAGCTCTCTCTTAATTATTAAACCATTTCTATGAATCTGTGTATCTTCATGTGGTCTTGGCTTGCCAGTGATGCCTGGGCCTCTTGCTTCCTCAGCAGCTACATGGTGTCTCCCTGACTCTGCCTACTACATTTTCTCTGTCCCTGTTTTGATTTCCTGCCTGGCTAAATGCTGCCTGTTTATTGACTGAAACACCTTTATTCATCAACCAATAAGAGAAACATATATTCACAGCACACAAAAGAGCATCCCCCATCATCTCCTCTTTTCTGTCTAAATAAAAAGGAGGGCTTTAAATGTAACTAAGTAAAATTATATATAACAAAACAGTTATCAAGCAAGAACTATAGTTAACAACATTTAGTCCACTAAACATTTGGCAAAATTTAAAGAAAACTATCATCTATCTTACCTTTGTGTGTGTAAATTTTTATATGTAACGTATTTTTATCATAACTAAGGAAAACCATAACCAGAACTATTTGTCTTCAACTCCATCAAAGATCCAAGAAGGATAATATATAAGCTCTAGGATTGACAGAGACATCTCACTGCCTGGACAGTCACCCAACGTTTCTCTGTAATGTTGGGGCATCCCTCTTCAGCCTATAGGCCATAGTGTCTGGCAGGTTTTTTAATGAAGTAGGAAATTTGAAGATGTGTTCTGTCTTGTACTGGCAAAATCTGTCAGGTGCTTTCTTTTGTAAAGCAACAACCCTGAAGGACCATCCTGTCCCTTGGCAAGTTCAGCAGTCACTTTCCTTTGTAACCTGATTGCACAGTTTGGACACCATGCTGTCAAGCAGTCCAGGCAAGAGCCGTTTCTTGTCCAAAAGGCCATCCCTGCCATGCCGAAGGCAAACCCCCATAACTAGTTTCTTTGATGCCCATCTTCCTCTCTGACATAATTGGTGTTGCAGGAGCAGTTGAGTACCATTGTTATGAAAAACCCCTAATAAACCACATTAAATGCCACATTCTGTATGTCTTTGAAAGATTTTTAAGAATTCCTATACATTTGAAATATATCTCTGTATACCTAGAAAACCTAACTAACATAAGTTTTAACTATTATGGGTGACTGTAATCTGTATTTAATTATATACTACATTTTTTAAAGAGCTGTATAAACACAATACTTAAACGAGAGTAGAAATATACAAATAACAAAATTGACCTTGAATTTGTATCAATAAATCAAAATCTATACCAATGTAAAGTATTCATTCCTACATCATATTGTCTGCAGAGACACTAAGGAGGTAAGATGTGGCTATGGCTCGCTCCTTCTCTCTGATCCCTCAGCATTTTCCTCTGTATCTGACTCTGGGTTTTTATCACTTAGACCAATTAAGAACTCCATTTACAAAAATCTACCTGGCTCTGCTTCTTGAGTGCTATCACCACACCCAGCCCTCACAATTAATTTTTAAAAGCCAATGTTACATTATCTGAACTCTGTGGGAAATAAAGTCATAATAAAATACTTTTACAAATATTGATGCCTATTTGAAAAGCACAGTAAACTGATTTCAACTCAATATCTTAATAAGAAAATACAGATAAGTAAAATTTACCCTACAAATGCAAGAAGGGCTAAGCTGTAGGAGGCTTGTCAATGGGTAAAGGAAAAGGCCTATATTCTGGGTCAACACATATCTGAAAGCTATTGCGCATCACTGAGTAACCCTTTCCAATTCTTCAGTTCTGTGTAAAAGCAGAAGGAAACTTCCAAAATATGATAGTCTGTCTTTTATACATCCAGTTTGTACCTGTTCAGACAAAAAGCAAGGCAGGAATGCTCATTGTCACAGTTATTGTTGACCATTTGTTTGACAGTTCTACCCGTGAACAGAAAATAAGATTCATAGCGTCTCCATGGAAACGAGTGAAATCATCGTTATTGGAAGATAATGTGAATTTACACCAAGAACTCTCAAGCTACTCTACTTCAATAATTAGAATTTCCGAGAAGACTTTGGAGGACGCTTGGATACAAGACAAACATACAAAATTCAGTCACCTTTCTCCAAATGAGCGAGGGAGTCTGGTTTCCTGGGAAACAGAGGGGCCCACAAGCAGCGACGCGGTGGTGGTGCATGGTGCAGACCTGGCTGGAGGGACCATTGTGAGGTAGCCCTGACTGTTACATTCCTTTCTCTTGGGTCCTTCCCTGTCTCCAGCCCATGGTTCTGAGAGTAGCTTAGGTCTAGAAATGAGACTCACAATCACCCAGTTTCTCCTATAAAAGGAGGGCAGAGGAAACACCCATGCTTCCTCCAGAGATGCGGCTGACCAACCAACTCCATCACTCTCTGTGGGCTCCCAGGTTCTGGCTCCTTGGGGTGCCTGAGGATTGAGTGTTCCCACCCTGCACCTACAGGGGGCGCCATTGGGCTTCTCAGTGGTGCAGCCACACAGCTGGGGCAGCAGACTCTGCAGCCACCCTCTTGAGACACAGGCCTCTGCTGGATGCTCAGAAAGCCATTGCACACCC